GGCATTTTCTTAAATTAAGAAGATACATGAGAGTATTTTGACATCAGAATAGAGCTTCAGGTTGTAAGCTCTTTGGCAGCGCACACGGAATATGAGTGAGAAGCCGCCAGGAAGCATTTGAAATGAAATCAGTGCCCATGACAAGGAGGGCACGCCGTGTTCGGCCAGCTGGTGCCCACAGAGGCGTACGTGCCCTGCCCTTTGAGTTTCTTTCTCTGGGTGGAAGCGCTTTTTGCTCTGTTTGGGGCGCTCGGGTTCTGAATTTTCTCCAGAAGCTGCGCTCTAAACTGCAGCCGTGGAGCTAGGACTGCTCTAGGATATATGATCCATCATGCCACACAGTCACCTGACCACACGCCAGGTTGATTTGGTTCTCTCTTGCTTACCGACAAGCTATTTGATGGACAAAATTGGTCAAATGTACCTACTTACCCTAGTCACAGTGCCTCTGCTTTGTGGGCATAGCCTGCTGTGTGTGGCTCAGGTTGACCCCGCCTTAACCATAGATGGGGCCGCATTGGGGGTGCAGTGTGAGAATCCTCGCCTTCCTGGGGTGGGAGCCCCAGGTTCAGTGCCCTGCTGATGCGCCTCACGCACAGCCAGCGTCAAGCAGTGGCAGCTAGTGTCACACGCTGATGCTGCTGAATAAGCTTCCATGGGAGCTTCCAGACAGTGACCAACTGGGTAAAAAGACCTGGTAATTGGCAGCTAATTTTTGAGCAACACGGTTTGGAGCTGCATGGGCCTGCTGCCATGCATTTTTGTGTTGTTTCTTTTCCTTGGTGTTTTTGTGGTGAGCCCAAGCATTGCTTGTGTCTGCTAATCCACTCGGCATGTGCAGTTCATCAACGGTAAATTATACATGGGTATTCTGCTGTGAGAGTGGATCAGTGCCTCTAATGGCAAAGGTCAACTGCACTTCCCAAAACCAGCCAACCAATTGTAAGGGTGATGCACACCCCGGCAGTGTGTCTTCCTGAGAGGATAGCATTACCACGAGTGGAGGGCAGCTAGATGGCATTGAACCACCACCACCTCTGGGCCAGCTCTCATTCCCCTATGGGAAAATAGCGTTCTTTCAAAAGATACCAAAGACATAAAAGCCAAGAAATATCACTGTCTTGCCTCCTGTAAGAAAATTTCAAAATTAGTGTTTCTTTTTAGGATTGAACATTCAAGCCAGCAGTGGCCCAGCATCCGCTCACAGCTGGCATCTGGGGCCCCGGGTGAAGCTGGTTATGGGACCAGACAAACAATGCCCTGGTGGAGACTGCACTGCAGCATTTTCCACAGCAGCCCCTGAATCTTATGCCGTTTTCCCTTCAATAAGATTGTAGAAAATCCTAGAGGAAGCAATTTGTCTTTGTTTGTTGTTTGTTTGTTTGTTTGTTTGAAACATGCACTAATTACTGGTTGTCCTGCTCCTTTGCACAGTGAGTGGCAATACTAGACAAAGAGAAGAATTGTGAGATTCTTTGTGTAAACATTGAGATAAGAGGGATAAGTATTTTGCAGAATATCTTTTATGGGTTTTTTTTTTACATAGGAATATGCAGTAATCTAACATTTACTTTAAGCAGCATAGCATTATTTTAGCATGAAGCTGTAGAGTCTGTATGCTTAGCAAGAGTGAAACACATTTCTACTACGTGGCATGTGTGTGGATGCCTTTATCCAGTCTTTAGAGACAATATCTTACTTGGAAGTCTGATTTTGAGGACATCAACACTACAATATGCCAATTACTAAGCATGTGAAGTGCCTCTCTAAAAGCCAATTTCAGTGACGCCAGGCTGCTAATAGAATAGTCTAATCAAATTCCAAAAGCGACAGTTTCTTATTTCAAAATGTCAAAGCTGTTCACTTTTTGAGTGGGAAAAAAAAGTGTGATGATTCTAGAATGAGCATCTTAGCATGTGTTGGAAGGAGCTTTTTTTTTAGAGAGGGGAAAAAAAAGAAAAGAAAACTCGTGGTTACATAAAACAGTCATGAAACCTAACATTTTGATTTGCTGGTTTTATAAAAACATGATGACTCCCACCAGAAACCTCAGCATTTGAATAACTAGAGTCTTCTGTGAGCTGTGCAGTTAAGTAAAATAAAGCTTAACAGTAAAGGAAAGGGCCATGTCGCTATAACTCCCAGATCATCTTAAATGGACAAGCATGGGCCGCTTCAACAACAGAGCATTTGGAGAAAGGACGAGAGTCGTGTGTAAATGAGTGACGTACAATGTGGAATTGTGTTAGCTGCACTAGAGAAGCAGCTATTGTAGGAAGGGCTGCCACACTAGACATCAGCTATCTTCTCTTTTTTTTTAATCGTTTTATTAGGGGCTCATATAACTCTTATCACAACCATATATACATCAATTGTGTTAAGCACATTTGTACATTCATTGCCCTCATCATTCTCAAAACATTTGCTCTCTACTTAAGCCCCTGGCATCATTTTTCCCCTCCCTCCCTGCTCCCCCTCCCTCATGAGCCCTTGATAATTTATAAATTATTATTTTGTCATATCTTGCCCTGTCCAACTCATTCACACAGAGAGACCCAAAAAACTGGAGCTTGCAAGCCATTTAGATTTTGAAATGCACCTTCTCATACAATGTGACCAATTCCAGTTAACTTTTTCATGCATTTAGCAAGTACCTTTTTTTCTTTGCAAAAGTTTTATTTTAAATTAAAACATAAATGATATATGTACCAAGTTTTTTGATGTTATTCTTTTTAATCACTTTTTGAGTTGTTCCTCCGCCTAGACTGTCTCCAGGTCACCTATTGCATGTGTGTGGAATCAATTGGCTTTGTTTCAAAAACATTCAACCATTGTGGTGAACTCTCCCATAGTTTCCTATTGCTTGGCGACACCCAGCAGTCACCCTGGTAGAAATTAATGGTGTGTTCTTTTGTCTGAATCCTGAAGACAGGACAGTGTCTCATCATATCTTGGGTGCCTGTCCCACACAACACTATCTCTACGTTTAAGACAGTGGAGCCCTGGTCATGTGCAGTGCTCACCCAGTCAGCTGCTGATTCGGGTCTCCATTCAATGGGAGAAAGAGGAGGCTTTCTTTTCCGTAAAGAGTCTTGGAGACCCACAAGGGAAGTTCCTCCTTGTAGGGTCACGGTGAGTCGGCATCAACTCAGCGGACGTGAGTTTGGTTTTTGAGAGGGTTTGTTTTGTTTGGTTTGGTCTCACATAGCATTCTCTGCATTCGGTTAGGTTCTAAGACATCATTGCATT